TTTTAAGTTTATTATATCAGTGTATAAATGTGTGTATTTTATTTTAATAGAATGTATATTATTTGCTTACTTTCAGTAAATTAATAATTTTTCTAAAATAATTTTTTGTTTGTGACTTTTTAATATGCTTGAACGCTCTTCGTAGAGTTATCACGTTCCCCCAGGGGGCGCGCCCCACAGTTTTAGAACTGTCGAACTAAATACAAGTAAAAAAAATTACTCTACTCCGCCAATTGCTCAAGTGTTCCTGATGAAAAAATAATGATTTATGTATCTGATAGGTTATGAGATGCTAAGTGCCTCTATTAATACCATTTTCAATCTAATTCCAATATAGCAAATTCTAGCAAAGTTCCTCAACATAAAATGAATCATCCAGTATCGTCCTTCAACGTATTACACAAATCAAAACTCATTTATTAGAATTCCTTGAAATTCATTTTATTACATCCTGCTACAAACACTAACGACAAACATCAGTCGAAAAACAAAATTAAAATAAAAAAAGAAGAGATAAGTACTATAGCTAGCTTGCAAAAGTTCCTCGACTTTACCACCGCCAATTAACCCAAAAATGAGTCTCTCATTAATAACAATGAATGGCCTCGTTAAGAGTGGGATGGTTCAGTGTCTCCGCCCATTCAATGACACCCATCTTGCCCCATAACACCTGTGATGTCTTCATTTGTCTGTGAAATCAGATGGAATTTTTCCTTCCTATTTCTAATCAAAGCGCTGCGACATCCACGGATTAAAAGCGATGACGAAGCGAATCCAATCTATTTGTTTTCGCTTCTGCAAAGAAGTATCCATCCGATTCCAAGACCAATTTTCTACGATGACCATAGACCATTTTTAGGGCAAGATGTCACCATTAGATGTAAACAAGACAATATATTTTATGCCACGTAATGGTGTATGCATAATCCTCAGGTCCTTGAAACAATGAAACCATCCGCATCAAAAACAATTGTTTTATCAAAAAATGCGGAGTGATGAAAAACATACTTCCCTTAACAGTAAAGGTATCGACTTTAAAATAATTACTCAATATAATGTCTGTGAAATTTAATTATTTATTTACATCATTACACAGACGGAATCATTACTTATTTACATCAATTTATCTTTAAAAATGTGGAGTGAGCCACTGTACACGACGGATTAAAAACTACAGAACAAACTAGTCTGATTTATGTTACATTTTAATAAAAAGAAGTTATAACGAATTTTTTAAACTTCACTTTGTTTCTCTGGGTGTTTAATAGTGATAACTGTGTGTGTGTGTGTGTGTGAGATGCTCGCGTATATTGTATACAAAATGCCTTCAAAAATGTGGTAACGGGGAAGTGTGAAAAGTAAAAACTGCAAAATTAACAAAATCATACAGCTTTAGTGTAACTAAATCCTGCAGTTGCTGTTGGTCTTCATGTATTAGAAAAGGACCAATTCAATCCAATTTATTTATAATTCTTCTCATTAAAAAATCAATTCGAAATGTTACCAGCAGAATAACTAATATACAGAACTGCTGTTGTTGCTGTTTATTATCCCAGATGGTGTAGCTTATCTCCATAAAGCCAAAATCACATTAAAAAAAATTTAAAAAAATAAGATTTCCTAAATCTTCGTCAACATTAAAATTCAAGCAATTATGAATATGACCGGGAGAGTCCTGATCAGCCTCGCACCTATGACCTCTGGAAAGTCCGGCCCTGTTGAAAAGAAAGAGATTTGATGTGGCCACTAAGAAAACGTGATAGAGCCGTCTTCTGAACCTTTGGAATATTAAGTTGGTGACACCAACCAGGTTTTTCCCCAAAATACCAAGGTTGAGCAGTGGGTATTCTCCAAAGTGCATTTAATTCTATCCTTTAAATGGGGGAGAATTCGGCAAAAGCTAGACAAGTGTTACCCCGCAAGGTGTCTGCAGTGGCAGACTTGACCAAACTATCGACTATCTTTTTACCATTCAATCTAATAAAGGTGGGGACCCTTTAAAAGTATATAGAGTGTCTAGAAGAAAGTCTAACCACAAGATCTAGAATATTTAGGCTTGTCATGTCCCCAACAGTTGCCTATCGAAAAAAGTGCTGTATAGAAACACGATTGCCAGTTAAAATCCAAATGTTCCTCAAGACAAGGTCAGAAGCAGTGTCAATAACTTGCAATCCCTTATAAATTGTAATAAGCACAGACCTAAAAATAGAACAGCAGTTGTTATTCCTAATCTTAATGTCAACTGTACCATCATGTGTCTCAATGTCGTCCATTCTGCCATCAGTATAGACTTTTAATGCCGAGTGAGGAATCCCCTGAGTTGTCTCCAGAGCCATCTGTCTAGTAAACACATAGGACTGAAAGAAATAAAAAATAATTGTGTGAGGGATTCAGAAATTTTACCAGTCTAATCAGACGTTTGTTATCTACTTTCTGTATCCCCCGATTTCTACCTCCTCACAGGGTGTAGCCCCATCCCTCGATTAGTTTTTTTTTAATACGATCACCACCCTCTAAGTATGACCCTGGAAACGTAAACACGGAAAAAGATGGAGGGAGGAAGAAAGAATAAGAAAAGGGAGATCATCTCGGTTATTGAAACAGGGGCGTCTCTGGGTCAACCTATGACATTTCTTACCTAATGAATGCCTGAAAAAAGATAATTATCAATCGAACTTACGACATGCAATTAACTGCCAAGGGTGGTCTTATTGAAACAGATGTTATTGAACTTAGCTTTCGAGAAAAACATTAATCGCATTCACTCGCCTGATTTTTAAGTATCATGAGCATTTCCTTATGGTTCCTTGATTGCTTTCTAATATCGATTAGCAGCAAATTCTGGGCACTTAACGAATGTGTCGCGGCTAAAGAGATTTCATCAGTTCGTTGTTTATTGTAATCAGATTTATATAACTATAATATGTAGTTATTTGTTTAAACATTTAAATTTTGATAGTGTATTTAAGATAAAAATAATAATAACAAGTAATATAAAAAAAATTTTAATTTCTACTTAGGTCAACAAAGAAAAAATTTTATTTTAGTTACTTTTTATTGAATAATTACAATTAATATAAATGTGCATATACATTAACCAAAAGGAACAATTTTTGAGTTGAAAATCATTATAAATAGCAAAAAAATCTTTGAAACACACATTAATAATGATTCACTTAACTAAAAATACATTTAAAGGTAATTGACCTACATTTATTTAAATAAAGAAATTGTTATATATTTCCATTCTTTCACTTTAACAAAAAAATTTCAAACTTAAAGATTAATAATAGTATTATATTTGTTCACATTCTCCCTTTGTTCAAAGCAAAACTAAAAAAAAATCCTTTTCCGATGTGTTATACGTTTCCGTTACGTATTTGCTTTTTTTACGATTTAAATAATATAATTTCAATAGAAAATGAACTTTTTTTTTCTTTAAATAAAAAACATTATATGTCAATTACATCAATTGGCCAAAAAAAAGTATGTTATATACTAGAACTATAGGCTTTTAGTACATGATAAAATACATATACCAACACAAAACAAAAATAACCCATTTTTTTACCACCCCTTTACCCAACATAACGGTAGCTGTGACCTCACTCCCACTACCCCGTTCCTCCCACCTCTAGATCTCAACAATTCTTCCGTTAATCCTTTTCAACCCCTTTTCCATTTTTTCCCCCTGTTTGCAGATGGTTCCCCCAACACGCTTAAGTTAAGTGTTCAAAGGGTTGAAACAGCATCTCAGTGACAAAAAGTCTGCTGTCTGTGAATGGCACACGGAAAAAAATCTAGGCAGGTGGCTTTTGTTCGTAGGCTTACTTTTTTTTGTAGTTTTCGCCTTGTTACGTGACCAGGTGTTGTCACAGCGACCTGCCCTTAGGAGGTTACCCTGGTCCCCTTCTAAATCACGCTTGGGGTCGATGAACCAATCCCCCCGGCGTGGTCAACCCACGTGGGTCGGATGCTAAAAACGTAAGCTCTGTGTCTGTGTATGTCTCCCGAATTTGGACAGGTACAGCCAAAAGGTCAACAAACTAGTTTTTTTTTCATCTAGATCTTTAATCTAAATGTACTGGACAGACACATAAGTCAGCTTCTGGGGTCAAATGTCACGATGTTAAAAAAGTGCTCAAGCTATGCTTTTCCATTCTTTTTTTCGGTTTGATTCATTTCCAGTTTTTTTCCCCTTCTGAATAATCCGTAAAGATAACGTGGGGTAAGTGTGTGAGGAATGTAAAGGAGCAAGGTCGTAGTTTGTGATGATGATGCAAGTGAATCTAGACTATTAAGTTTGTTTTGTTTTGAAAAAGGAAGGTGACAATAGAGAGATATAATTTAAAATAATACTTTGTTTTATTATCGGGATACTTTGTGTGTAAGTATGGTTATTAAACCACTTTAAAACAATATTACTTTATTAAGTCTGAACAAAAAAAATTAAGTCAATTACTACTTAGGGCAACAAAGAAAAGTTTTATTTTAGTTACTTTTTATTAATTAGTTACGATCAATCGGGCACACAAGGGGGGAGTCCTAGGGATTCGGACCCCCAAAGCCCTTGATTTTTTTTCCGATTGATTATAAATCTAAGTATACAGTACGTAAACTTAAATTAAGTATTTGTTATTAATAATTAATTTTATTAATTAATGCTAATTATTTATTCAATAAATAGATTTTTGTTTTGAAATAAGAAGGCGACAATAGAGATATAATTTAAAGTAATACGATGTTTTATTATCGGAATACTTAGTATGTAAGTATTGTTATAAAACCACTTTAAAAACTATACTATCTTATTAAGTCTGAACAAGAAATAAAAAAAATATTTAAGTCAAATACTAATTAGGGCAACAAAGAAAAATTTTATTTGAATTACTTTTTATTAAATAGTTTCGATCATCACGCACACAAGGGGGGGAGTCTTTGGAAATTATTCTAATAAAATCTATAGTAAAAAAGAAACCATACATTCGTAGAAATTAGGCCATTCCAGATAGGATTCAAACCCATGACCTTTGGATTAGAAGTCCAACGCGCTATGAATTGCGCTACAGGGAAACAATAAACGGTTTTCTTTTTTATATACGCTGTTAGACTATTATTTTTGTTTGTTACTATTTATTCATTAATTAAATATAATTAATGAATTCATGTTTAAAGAAACTGTATTAACATCTAGTGTCTACCAACACAAGTTTAAACAAATAGATTTGAACTTGAATTGATGAATAGGAAATATTCTGTTGACAAGTGAAAATTTGAACAAGATATATTTATATTATACATATAAATATGTATAGGGAGAGAGTGAACCAATAGTATAAATTGAAAAATAAACTTTAAATATTAGTAACTGTCAGGGATGTAGTTCGAAATATTTATCGAGAAGGGGGACTACCACTTCTCTCTCTCTCTTTCTCAATTCATATCTCAAAATCTATATCAAATTTCACTGCTTATTTTGAAGGTGAAAAGGATGCTTACGTGAAGTAGCGGATTTCGAATATTAATTTTTACTGAGAGAGAGAGAGAGAGAGAGAAAAGAAGATTGTTTTAAAAAAGAAATTGCTTTACAAAAACTTATCTGCTCAAAATTTCAATACCCAGTAATAGGTTATGGGGTTACAACCTTTACATCCTTCCTTATCGCAATGCCTCTCATAACACATTTACAACTGACAAAGTCGTGTGGAAACGAATTTAATTAAATTATCTTAGGATCGGATTTTAATAGCATAAAAATTTATTTAATTAAGAGAATTCTCGCTTTTAATCTTACAGCGTATTTTGCAAGTTCCAATCAAGAACAAGGATTTAAAACCATTAAATTTGCGATTTTCTTGTTTTTAAAATGTACATAAAATTCATTGTTTTTTAAAAAAAGAAGTGTATTTTCTGATAAGTTTTAATAACGTTATTTTTTTAGCTCATATTTTGATCATAGTTGCAATGAATGAACATAGAAAATAATTTTAAAATATAGCTTGCAATTATTAATTTGATGTAATTCTTTTTAATCTTTCTACTCTTGATTCTAAATTATCCATTTCTATAATTTATTGTATGAAACTCTCATGAATTTTAATTATGATATTTAATTTTTTTAATTAATTCTCAATTAGATGAATTTCTTATGTTTGTAGCTATGTTTATACCTAGATAAATGAGTTTTTTAATTACTTAACAAAAAGAGAGGTTATTTGATTAGGTTTATATAAGTGATTCATGTTGCTAATTGGATTTAAAAAATAATTTTTCACATAATTTAAGACATTACGTTTTGTGCTTGCCAAATAATATATTAAATTTGCTTACGATCTAAAACCCATACTAAGAAAAACTGAAATAATGCATTTCAAATTTGCAATTAAGGAAACCGCCAGTGCTTAGCAAGCTTTCAAAAATTCTTATTGCTATTTATACAAACAAGAGATTGAACATAGGAAGGAAATTAATTTAAAAAAATTGAGAGGGCTTGTAAAAAAGGGTATAAAATTTGTTTCTCGAATTAATATATACAAAATTTAACGAAATAAAACATTTGGGCTGTCTAAATTAAATAAAAACCAAGGTGGGTCTAAAAGACCCATACAGGCAAAACGTAAAATGTCTTAATTATCGTAGATGATATGTGAGTGAGTGAGTGTGTGTGTGAAACCGGTAATTATTTCAATTGGTTATAAATCAGAAAATAATGTGAATTTTTCTAAAATTTTAGTTCAGGCTCTCTAGAGAAGTCTTAGCTATATATAACCAAAATAGTATTATTAAAGAAGCATTTTTGTAAAAGGAGAATGTTTTGAAATTAGATAATTAAGTTCATTTTCTCTGCCAAAGTATTGCATTTAAATAACTCTTTATTGTAATAATATTATTAAAACTATTTTATACTTGTATTCTAATCTAAGTGACACTAAATATTAAAGGAAATAATCGTTTGTAGGCTTTTGCAAAATCATGGTTTCGAACGTAGTCGGATACCTTAATGGCAAAATACTTCTTATATCAAATAAATAACGTTAAATCAAAGCACATCAAAGCATTTTCGAAAAAAACACGAACAATCTTATTTCACAAGTGCGATTTCTCTCCCCAGATTGGCTTGTCTCGGATCAAGTAGCCAGCCTTCATGTCATAAATCATTTCCATTGGGTTGGAACATCATTCAAATCAAATGAAAACAATTTCTGGGCATTCTGCTGTCAAACATTGGGCAACAGCACTTGTGGAATCCTACTTTTTATGTATGTCCGTTATCGTGATGGACATATGTTCTGCCATCTGCTGGTAGATCGGTTTTTGATTTTCCTTTTACATGTCGCTATTCAGTAGATGTAATGGTCACGTGGTTTTTCCAATGAAAATAGATCGACAAGATTTCAAATTTCCCCAAAAACGGTCGTTGGTTTCAAGGAAGTTGCGATTGTATCAGTGTGAAACCTAATCTTATTATAATCATGGTACTGCTTAATTTTTTTTATTGTTGATACCTAAATTTCTAGATCCTTTTTTAAAATTTCCATGCATTTAATTGCTTTTATTTCGATATTTTGCTTAGATTTTTCGAAGCATACGTAATTTTTCATAACTTGTTATTTTTTAAAATAAAGTGTTAGATTATATTATTATTTCTTATTTTGAATAAGGATTTTGATTATTTAGCATTACATATGTATTACACCTGGTATAATTACAGTGGAACTGTGGTTAAAAGATTAAAAATTTCCTCTTAATTAAAAAAAAATTAAATTTTAGAAGAAGCTGCTATATTTTTTAAAAATTTTGAATGACAAATATTTAAAACAAGTAAGTTAAATTAACTTTGCAATATAAAACAGAAAGAATGGTACTATCGACGGACTTCGTAATACTGAGTCACATTCAAATGACGAAGACCAGAGAAGTCCAACTGGGTCCAGGGCCTCGCCTTTGGTGGGGGCCTCATTTCATTCTCGATTCTGCTTTAATAAGATCATGATCCGGATAATTTTAATGGTCAAATATTATTCTCGTACATATTCTCTAAAAAACAGGGAATTTCAAACTGAGTCCCAACTGGCAAGAGTAGTGTCTTTATTATTATGTGATGACCACATTATCTATGTTTAGGCCTTGGCCTAATACTGTAAACAATCATTCAACTCATTAAGTCGAAATGAGACGAGTCGGTCGGCACAGTTTGTGCCTAGGTTTTTAAGATTTTGAGTCGTGCACATTCATTTGTTTCAAATTACCGTTTGAACGAGTATTTGATAGTGCATGCTGTATACTGTCTACTTTTAAATAGGTAGGGCTTACTTTTGCATAGGGGCCCAGGGCCTCAAAAAGTATTAAGATGACCCTGACGGCGATGACCTGCCCCCTCTCCAAACTACCACACCATACCCACGACGGATTTACAGTGGAACCAGGACTCGAGCTCAGGACACCAGCCTCTAGTTCGTGACCACAACCATGAGAGTACCACGGCCAAAAAGATTTAGGATGGAGGGAAACATTTAACACACAAAAACTCGTTAAATGGAATACTAAAAATCAGGTTAAAATTTTCAATTTACAATTTGATAAGATGTGGAAAAAATACAATCTTTCGTAAGATATGAAGATCCTAACTATTTGGGGCAAGCTACATTTTTTTTCAGGTCAGAGCTGAAACGCACTGTTATAATTAATTGGAAGTTGACTTTTTAGCTGAATCTGAAAAATGTACAGTCGTAACGTCTCGTACTGTAGTTGAGAGATGTTCAGCGGTGAACACAAACATTTTTCAGGAGGTAGGGAGGGGATGCAGGGTCGAAAGACTACCATTCTCGTATCATGCCTCAACACGCCACCAAACATATTATTTTAATTTTGTCGATTTTGAGAACAAAAAACAGAAAAATTAATAATAATTAGCTTTAATTAATAAAATAGATTGTGAATAAGAAATACTTAATTAAATTATTAGTACTAAATGCATAAGGGCTATGAGGGGAAGGGTCTGGATTTATGAACCCTCCCTTTGTGTGCGCCACTGGTGATGTTAATACCATAGCAGCAATTCTTTATGTGTATACAATATATTTTTAAAAAATTTTATTCGGTACCTCAAGAGATTTTTCAGAATTTTTTCAACCCATGGGTTTTTCTAGACCATAGGTGGCAAATAGGGGCCCACGAGCCACATACCTCCCACAAAGAGAGTTTTTGCAGCCAGCCAAGACAGTCGGAAAACAAATTTTACAGAAAATGCTCTCTTGGGGGTCAAAGGTGTGTGTTTTTTGCATGATTAACAAGAATAAATATAGATGTAAACTAGCTGAAATTAATTTTCAGGATCTGACGAGAATTTCACAGCAATCTCATTCTTGATTTCAAAAAGGTTGTAGAAAAGTGTGATTGGGGGTCCACATTTGTCTCATTAAACTAATTTTAAAATTAAATGTTCTTGCAGTTGTAGACGATATGAAAACAGCACAGTGAATAAATTGACAAAACTGCCACTATTTTTTTTAAATTTACATTTATTTAACTTTTGTATTGTACAATGTATTTCTCTTCTCAGATGCAAAAAATAACTTATGAATGAAATCATTTTGTAAAACGTTATGGCCATCTGATATCCTCCGCTTCCTTTATGTGAGCCAAAACCATTGCCCACCCTTGTTCTATCCATAACTTTAGGGCTTTTCCAATCAGGTGATAACAATAGTACTCCATCTTTAATGCATAATATCTGACGGGTATTATTATCATATGTTTACCCTATCAAATTAAGTCAACATTTGATAAGATTGACTTATATAACCTTCTTCAAATAAGAATTCTTATAATCTTCATATTTGAATTCACTTTCGTTTCCCAGAATACAATAACATGTGCCAATGTTGTTATAATAATACGAATGTTACCGATTGAAAACTCTTGTACTCACTTGAATCGTTCTGAAAGGTTTTGTATGAAGTCAAAACTTGATGTCTTTTCTACGAGTTTTGTATCCAAATTGACTCGGAAAAATTGTGTCTATATGACTGGTTATTCAAATAAATAGTATTGAATCATATGTTGGAATCACACT